GGTGAGGGCTGTCAGGAGGAAAGCAAGGGCTGGGAGGCCTGGGTGAAGGCTATCTAAGGGAGAGAAGGGGCTGGTAGACCTAAGTAGAAGTTGTCGAGGTTAGAAGAAGGAGAGATGAGGTTGTGGGGTTGTCAAAAGGCTGTCGAGTGGCTGAGTGGAGGCTGTCGTATGATATACAGGAGAGAGATCACCTATGGTGATGGGTAACAAAGAAGAAGAGATGGCTAGGGCATGGCTCTGATACCATGTAAGTTTAGAGGAAAGAAAGAGAGAGGGAATGAGTGAGACCTCATCCCCTTTTAAATTGATAATAATGCGTAATTACAGGAGTGCCATAAGGCATAACTTATGGGCTAGCCCATTACATCAATGAAGGGAAAATAAAATCAGAATAAAATATAACAAATATTATTTCCTATTATAACAATAACAAATATCAAAGTCGATGGAATGCACAAACAAGCAACAACGGAGACCGGTTAAGCTAGCAAGTAATAGTAGTAGTAGTAGTTTGTAAAAGAATATAAATGGAATTATCAAGGAAGAAAACAGATCCTCCTAAGCCCACTAAACTTAACTGCCAGAAGTGAATAAATAGACGAGAGAAGTAAGAACGATGGAACGGGGCAATGCTAAGCAAAATCAAATTTTAGAAGAACTTCAACATTTACAGAATCCTCGTTCTCAACATCATCTTGATCTGATTTATGATTTAACCTAGGAAAATTATTTACATCCAAGTTAAGAACTTCATTCCTCTCACTATTCACAGTATGTTCATGTAAATCCCCCATGCATCAATTAGTTGTAACTTACGCCCTTCTAGATACTGTTGAGAGCAAAAAGCTGTGCAGCAAACAAAATCGAATCTGAACCCACTAACCTGCCTAATTAATTATACAGAAAGGTTTGGGTCAAACCATTATCTGATTTTAACCTAATAAAAAACAAGGAAATCGTTATTTTAATATACTACAAATATTCTCAATATATTAGAGAAATGACAGTTTGGTATCGGGATGAGTGCCTGATAAATAAGTTATGCTCAGGATCACATTTAAGGATCACGTTTAAGCCATGGAAAGCAGAGGAAATCCATCACACTGCCAGTTTTGATGAATGCAAAGGCAACTGACCAACAGCTATTGTATGTTTTCAACATAATTTCTTGGATAAAAGTCATTTGTCACAAAACTGTTTTTCTTTTCAGTGAATTTATAAACCAAAGAGCACAAAAACATTTACAAAACATGACAGTAGCATACCCTCTTCACAAGCAACAAATCCCCTTCCAAATCTGCAACCAAATTATGACATGGCCAAAATTACAACTTCCATGTTTGGCACTCAACACAACAAGACGCGTTTCCAGTGCTTCTAGCATAGACTATAGTTCAAAGTCACAGGCACAGACCAGTAGCTTCTATGCCCAGTTCACTAATATTAATATATGTAATCATTGCTAAATGTCCTCGTGTTCCATTTGCTCCATCATGGTAAATAGTAACTGCCAAGATGAGTCTAGTAACCAATCTGATTGAAGGTTTTGCAAGTTATTACCAACCCACTCTAAATTCTGTTGCCAATGCCATGACCCTTTTCACCAAGGAATTTCACCATTTCCTAACATGTACTACAATTGAAATGCAAACAGACAACCAAAAAACAAATGATTGTGAACTTCCATTGAAAACACAACTTACAATATAAAAATATCCCCAGTTCTGCATAGCTTCTCTTGCAGTTTCTTCCAAAGATTTGGACAATCTCTACGCAATGGGGAAGCATTGGAAACATGCTACACACCATATCAAAATTTAAAAAATCTGCCTGCAATGATTTGAATCTCTTGAGAAATTTTATGGATGAGTTCCACAAAATCCTTCCATTAGCTGACAGTTTCGACACCAGTTGAAGCCACGAAATTGGTTTCCCACTGTGGGTACATCTATCCAAATCTTCAACATGTCACTCTAGTATGATGTCATCATCGCCACATACTAGAGACCCATATGTCGTTAGGGATGGCAATTTGAACCCGGCCCGACAAGGATCCGATCCCCCGACCCCGATTGGAACAGGTTTTCCCGAAAATTATCCCCATAGGGCCGAGGATGGCATTAAAAATTGAATCCCCAACGGTTTTCGGGCGGGGGACGGGGATAGGTTCCCCTGCCCCTGCCTCGGCCCCAGCCCCGAATTATCCCTGAATATTCTATATATATATATGTCTAAGTCAGTGCCTGTCTCACACACTTACATTCATTTCTCTCAAGTCTAAGCCTCTAACTCCCCCCCCCTCTCTCTCTCTCTCTCTCTCTCTCTCTCTCTCTCTACACAGCACCGATCTCCTACCTCTCATCACCGCGGATCTCCCTCCTCTCATTACCGCCGATCGCCGTCGTCCCTCCATCACCGCCGTTCCTCCTCCCCATCGCCGTTGTCCCTCCTCTCCATCACGACAATCTGCGCAGCTGCTTCATCATCGCTATCCCTCCTCCCATCATCGTCGTTGTCCCTCCTCTCCATCACGACAATCTGCGCAGCTGCTTCATCACCGCTATCCCTCCTCCCATCATCGTCAGAGTTTTGTCCTTCCGCCGTCGTCTCTCTCTCTCTCTCTGAATGTGTTAGACTTTTTATTTTTTATTTCTTACATTTTGAGCTCAGATCTGTTCGTCTCTCTCTGAATGGGTGTGTTGTTGATGATGATGATGAACAGATGATTGTTGTTGTTGATGAATATATATTGTTGTTGTTGTTATTGTTGTTGATGAATATATATACATTTTGAGCTCAAATCTTTTTCTTTTTTTTTTTTATTTTGGCCGGAGAATTTTCGGGGTCGGGGAAACCTAATCCTCGTTAGGGGGCCAGGGGAGGGGGCGGTAATAGGCTCCCCGTTGGGGATCGAGGTCAAGGGCGGGGAAATTTCTACCATCGAGGATCGGGGATGGGGAGGGTGGTCCCGGGCCCTGCCCCGGCCCGTTGCCATTCCTATATATTGGCCTCGTAAGGTGACATATGGATTGGTCACATCTCTCTACATGCTCCCCGTCCAGAGTTAAGCCATGTCAGTTGAGGCTAACATAAGCAATGCCTTAGCCTTGAGCCTAAGAGCATGAGGACATCCTCCACATGCACATCATCCACTCACCCAGGCACACACAACACATCCTTCAACTAGGCCAGTTGAGGTTAATGTAAGCAATGCCTCTTTAAGTTTTTGCTGAATATGAGTCCTTACAGCCCTTTTAACAGGCTGGGTTATTCTACTACATTTTACCTTTCATTCTCCATATTTTATGCTTTTGTACTTCAAAACCCCTAAATCTTTCTAGAAAATAAAAATCCTTGTTCTCTCTACAATATTTAGCCTACATATTTGACTTTGTTCACCTGTTTCTACTATCATAAGAAATCTTCAGAAGCATTAAGTGAGAGGTTTGAAAAGCGTTTGCTGATTTGGGTATATTGGCTCTGTTGAGATGAGAATTTGAATTATTTAGTAGTAAAAACATTATTATTGACTTATTCATTTCTTGAAATTAGAGAGATTTGGTTTGTTTGAGAATGATTGATAAGAAGAAACAAGGTAAAATAAAAAGAAATGTGGTGCCTTACATGGGACCATTGTACTCCTGTTATAACAATAGAATGCACATGAAATACAATTATTGTGAGGACTATTGAGATGGGGCAATTTGAATGAAAATAAAACTCGTGGTAATGTTGCCCCATGTAGTCAATTTAGTGGTTAACACCAAAGAGGATAATATTAGTCTTTCACAATAATGGATTTTTTCTGAACTATTAAATTCATTGATGAGTTTTCATATCCTTTCATTGGATTGTTCACTTAATGCTCTAGTTTAATGCCTTTTGTGATTGTTCATTTGTTATTTTTTATTTTGTAATGTGGTTGCTCAAAGTATTATCACAAAACAACCATAGATATGTAGGATTGCACTACCACATAACATGTTTATCCATGGTCTCGAAATTGTCTAATCTAGAGATTACCTTCATACATGTCCAAGACATAACTAGGTAAGATTCTACGTTCATTTGTTAATTTTTTTTATTCTACTTATGCATATATATGGCAAAAGATTTAAATAGATTGCATTGAAGCCGCTATTTAAAAAAACCTAAAATTTTCATTCTTTCAACATTACTCATACCAGCCCTAATATGTATGATATAGAGATCTCCTCTTATTGTTTATTGTATTTGTGCCTCCTTTTTTTTTTCTTTTTTTTTTTTTTTTGACATTATGTTGTTTGTGCTTCATTTGTTTTCCCATCACCCTTAAAATGGTGAATACAAGGTTATCAATTCTGAGATTTGGTTACAACTATCTTATTAAAAGCTTCAAAACTAAATGAATAGAGAGATCGAGGACGGGATGAGGGAGAATACCAAACCCCTTGAGAGGCAAAAATGGAGGCTTGAATTATTCCCTGTTGGAGATCAAGCCAGAGATGGAGAAATATAACATAATCGCGAATTGGGGACGGGTAAGTGAAATCAAACCCCACCCCAAGCCTTGTTGCCACCCTTATATTATTCTCTCTCTTTTCTCCCCCTATAACACTTGTGCCAAATAAGAATTTTAAGCACCATTGAATCATCATGATGAATCTCATATGGGTAAAAGTTAGCAACACGAGATTATAAAGTTAATCTTCTATATAGGGTTTACCATATGGTTAGTCTGAATATGCACTTCCAACAAGTGACGACTTATCTTATTGATTTTTGTAAATGAAATATATATTTCATTGTCCTTCAACTCCAATGCAACAAAATAAACATAATGTTTATCAGTTGTACTTGGGTGTCACAAAGAATTATCTCTAGTTATTAAAATAAATAAATAAAACAGAGAGAGTCAAAATTTGATTTACACATCTACTGTGTCAGCAATGTCATGAAGGACATAAAGTTGGTCATATGGCTAAGAAGGAAAACAACTAAATTTATTCAAACTCACAGACCTTCAAGAGAGGCTTTTAGAGGCCCAACAAACTCAGGGAACTCTATTTCTTCAAGTGCTTTAAATACATCGTCTGCATTGATGGTTTGTCGCTTAGACTCCTTACATATATCATTTGCCCTGCACATTGACATCTTTCAATGAAATGTTTTGCACAATGCCAATAATATTAAAAAACAATTCCTCTTAGTCACCTTGTAACCCTTTTCCCATTCCTTAATATTTTCAAGATCAAAAAAAAGATTGATTATTCATGTCGAGTTCAACTATGGCTTCTTCCCCCCCACCCCCCCCTTTTTTTTTTTGGGGGGGGGGGGGGGAAGGAGATAGTTGCCCTTAATACACAGTGGATTGAGATTGTTGATTTAGCATTTCCTTCTTTTATGACTTTGTGCTGTTAGTGTATAGTGTGATAAAAAATAATAATAAATAAATAAAAAGGAGTCTTCAATGCCTACCAAAAAATAAAATAAAGTTCAAACTATCAAATCCATGTTCAAACTGTCATAATTAAGGGCTATTACATTCCAATTTAGAGCCTAAAAGCAAATACAACTTCAAACTATCAAGTCCAAAGAAAAAAATGTACAAATATTCCCAAATCAACAACCAAACACACACAAATCTTAAGGAATTCACGAATCAAACAATATCACACAATGTAAAAATTTAAAATTTAGACTAGCCCTAGTTTTTCAGTAGAAAGTGTCAATTTGTGCAGACGAATTTGAAATTTCTTCATAAATATTGCAGAGAGAGAGAGAGAGATTGTGTACGTGGCAGATAGGTAGTGGATGAAGATTCGGGCGCTCTCGGAGAAAGCCTGAAGAGCTTCTCGGAAGACAGAAATGTCGCCATCGTTGGACAACTGAGAGAGCTTCTCCTTCACCACCCTGCGCACGATAGCCTTGGGCAGCTCCTCCGTCTCCGCCACTACTTTCTCCGCCATCTCTATCTCTCTCTCTCTCTCTAGCTTGTTCTGTTCTGCGCAACGATTTCACAGTGTCGTAACAGAGAGAGCGCCTCGTTTTCTAGGTTTCTTTCCCGCCATTGACAGACCTGTCAAATTAAAGTAGGCCCAATTGAGTTGAAGTGAGCCCACGTTCTTCTAATGGGTTTTTGTGTGCCGCGGGTTATAGCAAGGGGATAGTTAAAAAAAAAAAAAAAAAACTTGTAGACATTTTACTCAAAAAAAAAAAACTTGGTAGACATTTTATTTTACTCAACGTAATTTTAATTTTAAGTTTCAATTAGTTGGTTGTTGGACTAGTTACTTTATCATTTTATTTTTTTTACAGTCGTGATAGAGGCCTCGAATTCGAGGATTCGAATTTGGCTCGAATCCGAGCAGCCCCCAAAACGACGTCGTTTTGGGGGTTTTTTTGGTTTTTTTTTTTCTTTTCTTCTTCCTCGTTCGAACAGAACCAGAGGGGAGGGGAAGAAGAGAGAGAGGGAGAGAGGAGGAGAAGAAGAGAGAGAGGAAGGGAGAAGAAGAGGGAGCCGCCGATGGGCCGGACTGGAGGGGGCCATAATCACCGGGGAGGAGGAGGAGGAGGAGGAGGCGGAGGTAGGCCGGAGGCGGAGGCGAGGCGACGATCGGACGGTTGGACGACCTGCGACGGCGGAGGCGAGGCGAGGCGAGGCGACGATCGGACGACCTGCGACGGCGAGTCTTCGGCGAATCCGGACCCCCTCCCCTCCCCTTCCTCTCCCTCTTCTTCCCCTCCCCTCCCCTCTGGTTCTGCGAAGAAGGAAAGAAAAAAAAAAAAAAAAAAAACGAAAAAACCCCCCAAACCGCGAAGAAGAAGAAGAAGAAAAAAAAAAAATGATTTCGAGGCAAATTCAAGCCTCAAATTCGAGGCCTGAATCATTTTTCTTTTTTTTATAGTTATCATTGAAGATTTTTAAAGACTCTCAAAACAAATATGTATGTATATATTTTGGATTTTTGTATATTATATATTAGATTTGAGATTTTATATATTTTATATATGTATATGTATATGTAGCAATTTTATATATTCTTTCAATTTTATTTGATGAATTACAGAATAATTTATTTTGTATTTTGTATTTTTTTCTCTTCATTCTACAAGTATTATATGTTTGTATGGGCAAATTTATTGTTATTTCAAATTTATATTAGTAAAATATTAACAATTAGTATTTTTTGTTTTAAAAATTAATTAAGCTAGTTTGAATGATTAGCTAAAATAAAGAGTGTGGTTGGAGAACACAATAGCTAAAGAAATTAAGTAAAATAAAGAGCATACTTTTTTCGTACTTTGGCTAGTGAAAAGTACAAAGTATGATTGGAGTTGCTCTTACTAATCAGTTTGTTTGGCTCTGATTTTCAAAAAAAAAAAATTAAAATTTATTTTTTTATTTTAATATTTTTAATGAATTTGTTTAATATTTTAAGTATTTTTTATTTTTAAACGCATCTAATATAAATACACTTAAAAAGTATAATATTTGTGAAAAAAAAATCTTTAAAAAATATACTAAATACCAAAAAATAAAAAAAAATTCAGTATATTTTTTTGTATTTATTAATTTTTTAAAATATTTTTTCACAAATATTTTACTATTTAGATACATCTAAGTAAAGTGTATCTAAACAAGTAAAAAAAAATTACTTAAAATTTAAAAAATATTCACTAAAAACAAAAAAATATGAAAAATAAAAAATTTAATTTTCAAAAAACTGAATTCAAAAAATTGAAACCAAATATACTGAATATTATTTTAAAAACAAAATTCAAAATGGTGTTTGGGAACTTTACTTATTGACTAAAGAGTCACATTTTTTTGAATTTTTTTTTATTTTTAGTAATTTTTTACAAATTGTATCGTTTTTTTTTCTTTTTTTTTTTTTGCTTTTTTGATTTGTCTTGTCTATAATAAGGGTGAGCATGATCCGGATTGGTCCGGATTAGGGTAAAACGAGGACCAAGCCGTTATCAACGGTTCCTGAAAAATTAAAAACAATCCAATCCATTTATATCGTGGAACCAATCCGAACCAATCCGTTTAAATATGGATTGAATCGGTTTAGGATCACAGATTCACATAATTAAATAACAAAAAAAATATATAATATTTTAATTTCATAAAAATATAAACATCTCAAACAAAAGCAATAAACAAAAACAACAAACAAAAGCAATAAAACTGGACACACAATACACAAAGTAGAGTTCTCCTCTATATTAAAACTAAATATAGCATCAAATAAAAGTAATAAGAAAACTAGTTTAGCTTTTATATGAAATAAGAAATGATATTATGTGGGAGTGTCTATAATATAAATATAGGCTATTTGTATATGGTTCGGATCTGTTCTAATTCAAAACCGCAAGGTTCAATACGAAACTAATCTGTGGCTTATGGATTTTTAAATTTTCAATCCAGAACAGAACCATGGATTCAAAAAATCAATCCAAACTTACCGGATTGGACTGAACCGAGTCGGATTATGAATTATACGGATTTCTTGCTCGACCCTAATCTATAACATTCTATAAAAATTAAAAAAAAATTGCCTCTCACAATAGGCTATTTAACGAAGGTGAGATGGCAATTTCTGTTGGAAAAAATGATTTTATAGTGACTTTAATGTGAAATTAAAGTAGGTCTCAACCATTGGTTGACGTGGAATTAAATGGGTTTAAATTTTTTGTAACAAGGTCTTTACACCACAAGAATTACTAAAAATCATTGAGAATTGAATGAGAAATTGTCTCATTAATATAGCCTCATAAATAAGGTTTTGGGAATTGTGTGTAGCTACCAATCCCACATTGATTATAAAGGAAAGTTTTGATGGGTATTTAAATATCAAGATTTTGATAATGGTATGAGCCCTTTGGGGCATCCAAATTTCTGAAAGAATGGAGTTATGGATACTTCAAGGAAAGGCTTGGGTGAAGACTATAGTCCATGTTGGTTATGGCAAAATTGCCACACACACTCCGCCAGCCCGAACCGGGCCGAGCCTGGGTCTGTGGGTCATGGATCTTGGATCTTGGGCTTGAGGAAATGGGTTAGGTTTGGGCTGTGCCGGATTGGTGGTCCACAAACCTAATTTTTTTTTGCCAAGTCTGCTATAGATATACACATTTGTGTATACAGAAAATATATCTCAGATATTTTTTCCCATTAATTTTGGTCCATTCTCCAGCAGTTTTGCAGGAGTAATGGCCATTACACACTTGTGTATACAGAAAATATATCTCAGATATTTTTTCCCATCAATTTTGGTCCATTCTCTAACAGTTTTGCAAGAGTAATGGCCATTAGTTGCCGGCCTTCATGGGCATTAGTTGCTACCTTTCATGGCTGGAGGCTCATCCCCTCTCCTCCATGGTGTATAAAAGGAGACCCATCTCCCTTGGTTCTGATACAGAGTTTTTGCTTCCAGAATATATCAGTCAGTTTGCTTCTCCTATAATATATTCTTCTTGTGTGAGAGAGTACTGCCATTGTCAGTTTGCCAAAACTAACAGAAAGTGCTTCTGCGTTAGCCGGTCTAAACTGTCGTATCATGAGAGACAAAAGTCGACATTTCTATAGCACCTACAGTGAGACGGCTAATATATTTTAAGGACACTGTGGTGCCACACAGGTTTCAGTTTAATTCTTTGTTTTCTATATTTCAGTTCCATATGTATTTTTGTAAATCATGTTATATGTTATGTAATTTAACTGATAAAATATGAATTTAATTGTTTTATTTAATTAGCTAATTTCAACAACAATCTTAAAACATATTATTAATTTTCATGAAAATTGGACTAGTTATTTTTTCCGGTTGGTACACTGTTATAGGATTGTTCACTATTTCCATGAATTAGACTGAACATATTCATATTCATGCTACTGTGCCACCAAGCCTGTAGCCTGCCCCCTTTGCTTCTTCCACATCTTTGATTATAATTCCAAGAAAACACTCTTTTGTCATATATGAATTTGATTAAAAAAATTTAATTTGCTTTATAGATTCAACCACCTGTCTCACCTTGTTATTCTTGAGTACAAATTTTGATTGTCCTTTGGTGATTACACTGTTTGGTGCCCTTTGTTAATTTTTTTTTTTTAATTTGGAAAAAAAACATAAATAATTAAATAACTGAATTCAAATTTGTTGTGCATGATTAAATTTATTTAAATAAATAAATAATTGTCGATTAGGTGTTTGTTTTATGTACATGCTAGTCTTGATTAGATAATTCATTGACTTTATATATACGGCTACTGTTTGTTTGATACATACATGATTAGCTTAATCAATTATATTCCAAACCTAGACTGTTTCTTGTATATTAGTGCATAATTAGGAATACGGTGGCATAGTAAGCCCACTGCTGCATGATTGCCAATTAATATATATGTTCTGGGTTTTTTCAGTTTGATTAGAATGGTTTCATATCTAGATCTCTAGCATAATCTATTTACTTATTTGGTATAGTATGATTTTGTGTTGAGAGCATGATTGTCATTTTATTTTATAATTTTATAATATAATTTGCATGTTCATAAGTGTTTAAATTTTATTTGACATACTAATTAGTTTCTAGTATAATCAACACGTTCAATATGGTTACATACTAGATTAATTCACATGTTTTTATTTTCTAGATTTAAGTCAATTTACATGCTTCTTATTCTAGAATTATTTACATGTTAATTATTATAGACTTATTTGCATGTTAATTGCTAGAATAATTTATAAATTTATTACATCATTGGAAAAATTTAAGCATTTGGAGTTATAAAAAGTTTTGTAACTTGTCCATTTATATACATGTTTATTGTGTAAATTAAATTATAAATTTAAATTTGGGAGTTATAATTTTAATTGTATAACTTGTCTAGATTTTTAATTTTATTTAATTTAGCTATTAAATTAATTTATTCTTTTACAATTTCTTTAGATTATTTGGTTTGTATTTTGTTGTGTTTTTCTACTAACTTTCTTTACTGAAATACCAAAGCGAGGAAAGGAGTTTTAGACAAATAATAATTCTATTTGGATTGGTTTACTTTTGTTTATATTTGAAACAATTTTTGCTTGAGATTTATTTAT